GGGGGGGCTTACATCAATACATATATAACATTTAAACACACAACACACAAATGCTACATACACTCAGACAAAATAAAATATTAATATAGAAAATATTAAACATCAAAGACGGATGCTGCAAAACGACATACAGTAGAACCTGACTCGTACCCAGTCCCTCAAATGAGGATTAAACAAAATAATGGTGCATGATGGGAATGGTCAAGGGTAAATTCTTTGTCGTTCCCATCATGCAACGCAACTCCGTACACTGATCTATATAAATCGTAATTGACGACTGGGTACGAGTCAGCAGTAGAACCCCGCTAACTCGAACTCCCAAGGGGAACGAAAATTGTTCGAGTAAGCGGGGGTTCGAGTTAACTAGAGTTGGTGTCAGATTTCGTTTATTATGTTAATAATTAATAAGGTATAAAAGTTTTATTATACTGTTCATCAAAATTACAAAAAGTTTAATTGTGCATCGCTATAACTAAAGTTCTTTAGTCAGTATCTTTTTAACTTGGGTGATGGAGAAGGCATGCAAGTTCCATGCAAACTAAAGTTCTTTGGACAGGAAAAACATCATTGTAGAGATTTGCAAAAGGAACTAAAAAAACTAGATCAATAACCATCGTCGCAACTATGTCTATGTGTATAATCTTTTAAAATTTATGATCATTTATACACCGATTAAATTGTTGTTATTTGAATAAAAATCCAAGTTACCGGTTGTCAAAATGCTATGTTCTGACATTTTAAGGTTTGCCGGTCCACGACTCGAAAACAAAGTTCGAGTTAACGGGATAAATTTGACCAAGGGAAAACAAAATTTGTTCGAATTAGCGAGGAGTTCGAGTTAAGCGAGTTCGAGTTAAGCGGAGTAAATTACTATAAAAAACAGTGTCAGATCCAAGGGGAATTGGATTTAGTTCGAGTTAGCGAGGAGTTCGAGTTAAGCGAGTTCGAGTTAGCGGGGGACTACTGTAGGTTGATACGAAAGCCAAAATTAAAGAATACGAAAGTGAAGTTAACTGCTTATAATGGAACTAATATTCCTGTTGTTGGAAAGTGTATTGTTCGAGTTGCCCATAAAAAGAATCGTGATGTACCTGCTCTGTTTATTGCCACAGAAACGACTTCACCACCAATATTGGGTCTTTCTATATGTGGGAACTTAAACTTAGTTAAACGTGTGATGGTAGTAAAACCAAAGGAGGAACAATTGCCCATGCAGCTTCATCTCTGAATTTGAATGTTGCTTTGGAGAACTTGGTACTCTGCCCAAAGTCCACAAGATAGTTATTGACCCTAGTGTTCTGCCAGTTATTCACCCTCCACGACGTGTTCCTATAACTAATATTCCTGTTGTTGGAAAGTGTATTGTTCGAGTTGCCCATAAAAAGAATCGTGATGTACCTGCTCTGTTTATTGCCACAGAAACGACTTCACCACCAATATTGGGTCTTTCTATATGTGGGAACTTAAACTTAGTTAAACGTGTGATGGTAGTAAAACCAAAGGAGGAACAATTGCCCATGCAGCTTCATCTCTGAATTTGAATGTTGCTTTGGAGAACTTGGTACTCTGCCCAAAGTCCACAAGATAGTTATTGACCCTAGTGTTCCGCCAGTTATTCACCCTCCACGACGTGTTCCTATAACCATCCAACCTAAACTTAAGGAAGAACTTGACAGAATGGAGAAACTTGGGGTCATATCCAAAGTCACTGAGCCAACAGATTGGGTTTCAAGTCTAGTAGTTGTTGAAAAGCCAGATGGAAGTATTCGTATTTGCCTTGATCCGAAGGATCTAAACCATGCCATCAAAAGATCTCATCTACAACTACCCACCACAGAGGATATTATCTCAAAGATGACTGGTGCTCGGCATGTTTCAAAACTTGACGCTAGTTCAGGATATTGGCAAACCAAGCTTGATGAGGAAAGCTCGAAGTTGTTGTCCTTTAACAGCCCGTTTGGACGTTATAAATTTAATAGATTACCTTTTGGTGTCTCAAATGCATTCGAAATTTTTCAGTTGGATATCGCAGAAATTATTGAAGGTATCGAAGGAGCCGCAACCGCTCAAGATGATATCATAGTTTGGGGCGACACAAAAGAAGTCCACGATCAACGTCTACACGAGGTGTTGTCTAGAATTAAAGACTCTGGTCTCAAGCTGAACTGGAATAAATGTCAATTCTGACCCAAGAAAGATTTCAGCAATCATTGACATGCCTGTTCCTCAGAATAAAACTGAACTACAGAGATTTCTTGGGATGTGTAACTATTTGGCTAAGTTCATACCAGATTTGGCCAGTGTTACTGCACCGTTGCGTTGCTTACTAGAAAAGGACACTCCATGGCATTTTGAAGCCGAGCAAGAAAATGCAGTGAAAAGGCTAAAAGAAATGGTAACGTCAGCTCCAGTCTTGAAGTATTTCAATCCAAAAGATCCAATTAAAGTCACGTCGGATTCGTCAAAGTTTGGTCTTGGAGCTGTTCTTGAGCAACAAGAGGAGGGTACGTGGAAACCTGTTGCTTTTGCCTCTCGTTTATTGACTCAGTCTGAGCAAAACTACGCTCAGATTGAAAAGGAGACTCTCAGTGTTGTATTTGCTTGTGAGAAATTTAAGGAATATCCATATGGACAAAAACGTTGTTGTTGAGCAATTTATTCGAAGCCACTTATTAAGGCGCCGGCAAGAATTCAAAGATTCATGCTAAGGCTTTAGCCTTATATGTTTACTTTCAAGTTTGTACCTGGAAAGGACATTCCTGTAGCAGATACACTCAGTCGTGCATTCTTAGATGTTTCAATTCCAGAAATACCTGAGTGTGAACTAAATTGTTTTGTACACATGATTAATGATCAGGGAACAATTTCCAAGTCGAAATTGTCCGAGTTTGCTACGGAGACCTCAAAGGATCCTGATTTACAGAAATTAAAGAATTGTGTACTAAATGGATGGCCAGACAAACCGAGACAAGTTGATCCTGCTGTAAGGCCATATTACAGTTTTCGAGACGAAATCACGCTATATGAAGACGTCTTGCTGAAATGTGACAG